GAGAGAGAGAGAGAGAGAGAGAGAGAGAGAAAAGCAGAGCGGATCTTCGATATCATCCCTCCTATCATCGAGGCATATTTTTCTTCGTATAATAGAATGACATTTATTTTTTTAGTATCATTCGATTTGTTATAGATTATACGAGGATAAAATAAACAAATAAATAAATTTTAGAGGATAGATATAATGTGCGCAGAGTTAAAGAGTATAACAAAAAAAAGCGCTCGTTTCATTCGATCTTTCAGAGTTATTCAATCCAGGAAATGTGATTTTAACAATTTCGTCGGGTATCGATCGACCAAAATTGTCAAAGTCACTTTCACAAGTGTAAGCTGTGCTCTTTTGAATAGTCTGAATATCAGAATATATTCCCGAACTAGATAGAAGTTAAAACGATTGCTCATTTCGCTGTATAGTTGCATATAGTTATTATTTTCAACGTTATCGTTGAATTGTGCCGTTAAATAAAATCTGCATGTTGCTAAAGCAATAAAACGTAGGTGGATTCGAATAACAATCTAGCAATGGATATTTATGTGTTTCGTTAGCCTCGCTAATTGTAACGCTAACTACCTATCATTTCGATCAGTTCAAAGGAGCACAGATATGACAATGTTACAAATTCATAAAAGTATTTTTTATAAACTTATTGTTTTCAAGGTTTTGCTCGATAACAACATATCGCTGTTATAATAATTAAATATATACACGTATATACACCGGTACACGCTTGACCATTTAAATATGAGAATGCAATAATATATATATATATTTGTAGAGAAAGAAACTCCTCATGAATCGCAAGTTACTTCAAGCACCATTATTTCATCTTGAAATCTTTTGTTTGGACGTGTGATATTTTAAAATAATTTCGACAAACAATGAACAAATTCAAGATATGTTTGTATCTTCTATTTGATGCCTATGCTGTACAATTTTAGGTTATGACTGTGCGAGAGAATAAAACAGAGCAGAGCGAAGAGGGAGAGCCAAAAGAGAAAAGAAATGGATAAAAGCATACTTAAAATTGGGAAACGATTCAATTTACGCTTGATCAGGTAACTTTCGAAAACAGTTTAAGTCGCGATTATTTTCTCAAAATATTCTGAAAATATGAGACATCATATTTTCTTCTTTTACTTATAAAAAAAAAAAAAAAAAAACGCATAACACGGGATCAAATAAGAGAAGTATTATATGTATTATCATTTCTCAAATTGTACGCAAAACATGACATAACGTAATATTACGATAATATAAGAGAATTTCCATTGCATTTTGAATGTTATACACTTTTTCCTTTTTTTTTTTTGTTAAAAAAATTCATAGTAATTTTTTCGAAATCAATTCGTAGTGACTTGGGCTTTCAAAGTTATCTATATGAGTTTTTACTATGTTTGTACGATATTGACATATTTCCATTATTAAATGATACATAACGCTTCTTTGAAATTCGCGATGTTCAATGTTTTATATTTTTTACAGAATTATATAAAAATTTGCTTCAAAAACAATATATGTACGTTAACGATATTTTTCTATTCGCGAAATTGATCGAATGTTTTCAACATAACTATATGTACAATTTTTTTTTTTTAATATATGCACTCGAAAATTTCAGGGCTACTAAAAAAGAAACAAGAGAATATAAGGCCTTTTTACGTTATGTTGTACATTTAATAAATATAATGTTGTCCCTAATAATGATTATAATAATAAAAGATAATTTGAATAAGTTTTGGTAAAACTTTAATAAAATTTCTGGCGCTTCGTAAAACAATGTTGTCTCCTGTTTATTCCTTTTCACAACAAATGATGATATGTGACTATTGATTTTGCAAAATTCATAATTAATAGGAAAGGTACATATTTACATAGTTCCTTTAGTAATAACAATGACCATTAGGTGGCGGATATTTTTTTAGAGGTGGGAGTTACCCATTTAAA